CAACTCTCACCTGTAATAGTAGCCGGTGGATCTGCTCAGATAGCTCCTGGATATCAGGGTCCAGGGAAAGAGCTGGGCTGGGGACCAGGGGAGTGAATACGTCCTCATTCAGGGGTGCCCTGTGGAGTGAGAAAGGGTGAGTTAAACCCTACTCCCTCCCAAACTGTCCCACCTCCCAGTGCCAGCTCTGGGTTAGGGCCCACTTACGTGCGTACTTTGTGGCGACCCAACACAAAGGCCACCTTGCGGCTCCAGGGGTGCACGAAGCCAGCCCAGCTGGTGTCCATGGTGACATATTCCCCATTACGGGCACAGAAACGAATGGGAGAGTGGTCAAAAGGCTGGCCAGCCAGCTGCAGGACTGAAGGGAATGGGAAATAAGGTGAAGGTCAGCAGGAGGGACAACTGAGTAAGGCAGAGAGTGACCCCACTGGAGATTCAGAAAAGCAAGGTACTGAGAGACATAACCACAAGGGCATCAGTTAAGAAGCCTTGGAGACAGCTGGGAAGAAAGAGCAGGGGGAGAGGCACTCACTCTTCTTGTGGATGGCCAGCATGAGGGGTCGGTCCTCAGGATGCAGGAACAGGAGCACTGGGGCCCCCAGGAGATCCTGGGGGAGGTAGCCCAGCAATGGGGCAGCCCTGAAATGGGAAGAGGCATCAGTTTGGCCATGGCCTCAGCCCTGGCCACCCACTTTTCCTCCAGGTCCTGACCTCACCTTTCATCCACATCCTGGAAGAGGCAGCTGGGTGTATGCCGTGTAGTGAAGATCCTCTTGTCAGGGGGTATCCGGGGAGCTGAGCACAGAAAATGTGGCCACTGGGTTTCATCCAAAATGGTCCAGCTCCTCACCCCTCCACACTGCCTGGGACGCAGGCTGGCTGGCAATCCTCCCCACAGCTCTGCCCTGGAGCCTTCTGGCCTACAAAGATGGTCTGGACCATTCTTGTGCCCCATACTAGTAATGAGCTGAGAACAAGGCACTCTGCTTTGCCCTCTCCTGGCTCGGGGCTCTTAGTCAACTCTGTCTAAAGAAGGCCTCAAACCTTCATCTTTATAATACCGTCTCTGTTCCAAAGTTCCAAATGGCTAAATCATGCCTCCCAAACTCATGTCCTGCCTCACTCCCAGCCCAGAGGAGGTACGCTTCCTCCCACCCCCACCAGGCCAGGCCCCTAGTCTGCACACCTTCGTAACCCGAGTGGATTCGCTCTGCAATGAGCAGGCAGCATGGCTGTGCGGGGGCCCCATCTGAGACCCGGATTTTGGTCACATATGGGGTTAGGCGGAATGGCTGGTACCGAGGCCCTGGATCCCGGTCAGGACCTCCTCTATCAAGGGAGAAAAAGAGGTGTTAGGGACTATCAATGAAAGGCCACCCACCTTCTATCTCGAGGTCAGGGTTTACACAGTAAAGGAGGAATATGTGTGGAAGGTGGAAGGGGTCTGCTCCCACTTCCCCCACCTACCTGATACGGCAAAAGATAGACTTCTCCTGGGTGAAGTCCCTGAAGCCTGAACCTGGGAGAGACCAGGAGAGAGGTGAGCACAGGCCCCCAGACCCCTCCTGGGCTGAGAAGAACCCAACAAGGAAAATCTTGGGCCCTCTAGTCCCTCACAGAGTGAGCTTCCTGCAACTGCTCATCCCTCCCCCAAAGCACCTGGGACCTCACCTGCCAAAGCCCCCACGCCCCAGGTGGGTAGACGAGATGGGGCAGTAGAACCATAGAAGACACCCACATCCTGGGGAGCCAGGAGCTCTGAGAAACGGGCACCCCGGAACACGTCCCTCTTGCAGTGCAGCAGAACACCTGCCTGCTCTGAAATGTAGACGATTCGGCCTGTCAGGAAGGAGACAGCCACGGAGAAGGTATCCTGGGAAGGAGAGTGAAGACAAGAGCAGATTCAGAAGCCATGAAGGATGAGGGCGAATTAGGACAGAGAGGCCAGGCTGTGGCTGACCTGGTTGCGAAGTGTGTACTCAGATGTGATGTGCTCCAGCTCCTCTAGAGTGTAGGTGGACATGTCCATGGCACAAGGCTCACCTTCCTCTAGGCTCCACTGCTGATAGTATTCCTGGTTGGCTACAAGGTAAGGGCAGTGGGGTATTCAGTGAGATGGCCCCACCATAGTAGCCCAGGACCTGGCCACTGCCCTCCAGGAAGCACCACTCACCCTGCACCTGCTTGACACAGGCCAGTGCGTACTGTAGTGTGGCCAGGGTTCCAGAGCGGCCCTTGCCCCGGCGCTCTGGTGGCAGCCGAAGCTTGAGGTCCCGCAGCGCCATCATGAGTTCCTTCTGGGTTCTTGCACGGGCTGACTGTTCACTGCTGCAAGGTCCACAGGAAGGGTGGGGGTATAGGCATTAGCCTCAAAACATGGCCCAGGGACCCAACCTCTCCCCCAGCCCTTACCCCACAAACCTGCAGCCACTGGTAGATGGGTTGTCCTGCTCTGAGCTGGCACTCAGGAGGCTGTAGGCGATGGAACTGCTAGGTGGGGATGGGCTCTGAGAGTTTGTGCTAAGGGAGAAGCAACAGGCCCAAGATGAGGAGAAAGTGGCTAGCAGCATGGGCCTTTCTCCTAGCTCAGCCTGCTCACAAGACCACTCCCAGACCCTGTAACACACATCTATACACACCTCTTGCTGCTCTCAGTGGTCTCCAGCAGGGCTGAGTCCTTGCCATTGCCAGAGGAGGAGCTGTGTGAGCTCCGCTGAGATGCACCCCTGGACTCGAGCCCGTTGGACTCATTGCCACTTGAGCCATTGCTGTTGGCATCTGTGTCATCAGCCAAGCTGGGGCCAGGGCAAGACCGGTGCTGTGGAGGCCCAGGGGATGGGGCCCCTCCAGGACAAAAGGATTCCTCTGGCCTGGGGTCCCCTCCCCCATCAGCCCCTTCTAGGGGGCCACTCATGTCTGGGCCATGGGGAGGGCAGGTGGAAAACAGTGCTGATGCAGAGGCCACCACGGATGCACAAGGGGGCCAGGAGGCCTGGCTGGGGAGTGAAGTAGGAGACCTAAGTCTCTGAGGATTGAGAAGTTCGATCACAGATCACAGCCAGTACCTGAAGAGGGAGACCAGGAAGGAGGGCTTAGAGAAAGCTGGGCTGTTAACCTCAAAGTACCTGCTGGCTACACTCAGACCCTCCCCGAGCCTGCCCCCAGGCTCCTGGGACCCAGGCTTGCAATAGGAAGCCTAGGTAAGTTCAGTTTCTTGTTCTGGTAGGGGGTTGGAGGTGGGAAGGGACCTTTCTTTGGCCTTCTCCCACATCCCTTGCCAGCGTGGCCCGGGTAAGTAGAGCCTCAACAATCTACTAGAACTATGGCCGTGGGCCAAACTGGACACCTTCCATCACCAAATTCCCATCGGGCTCCCACTTTGCCTAAGACTCCGAGGCCTCTGGGCACTGGGTGAGCCCATCGTCTCCTATATTTAGGTCTCCAGGCTAATTTTATCTGTGGGCGGTGCCACCTCCGCTGCACATGCGCAGAAGCCTGAGCGGTTCCACCACGCGCTTCCGCCACCGCTGCGGTCACCAGGGAAACCGACGTCAGCAGCTGAGCTCAGCGGTTGCTGGAGGGACCACGAGAGGGCGGGAAGGCCGACCCTCCCCCATTTCCCCAGCGGAAGCAGGGGATCGACCTACTCCCACACAGGCGGGTGTGGCCAGGGTTCGCCCACCTCTAATACATCCCCAATTCCCTAAGAGAGGCAGCCATTGGGGTTCCGCGCGCGCAGGCTGGCCCCGCTCCCCAGGGTAAAACGCAACCGTCACTGCCCTCCACCGAAAAGTCCCACAGCCTGGCATTCGCCTGGAACCCAATCATTCTGGTCAATACCACACACCCTTACCTTTTCCAGCCTCTACACCCTCACCCGACCTCTACCCCCTGAACCGAAGTAAGCACCTGCCATTTGTCAGGGACCCAGGAATCCTCTCTCCTCAGTCCGCTAATTTTCTAGACACCCCCCCCCCCCACTACACCCCCATCCAAAGCTGACACACTCAGTTCTGAGCAAGGGATGTACAACAGCCAGCGGATATTTCGTCCCCTATTCCCGGTTCAACCACGCCCCCAGCCCCCAGAGCACTTCTGAGTGCCAGGAGAAAAGGGAAGGCTGTGGCCAACAGCAAGAACTAGCACCGGGAACGGGATGTTCCAGCCTGAAACGGGCTGACATCACAGCCGGCGCTGGGCCAGGGATTGAGAGGGGGAGTGAGGGGAGCGCGGAAACCCAGAAAGGGTCCTGGTACCGGGGCAAAACAGGGGACCCCCAAGTGACAAGAAAGGCGGCACGGATCATGCATGCGGAGGGTCGGGTATGGGACCTGAAGAACTGGGAGCAAGGAGCAAAACGGGAGGTAAGGTAAGAGGGTCAGGAGTGCAGACATCCGGTACAGGGTTGCAAAGACCACCTGGGTCCCTGGGGGATGAGTGGGAGTGGACAGGGGCAAGGAAGGCGGATTATTGGTGTGCTGTCTGAGTGCCTGGGCCGAAAAGGGCACATCAGGCTGGAAGTGGCAGCGATCCGATTCGGGGCTCGTAACCGGCCCCTGGGTGGTGACGGAGACGCCTACCTGTCTGCGCGAGCGTCCTTCAGCCGCCTGCCCGCCGCTGTTGCAGCCCGCAGCCGAGTGGAAGCTCCGCGGGGCCAGGAGGTGGGTTGCATAATGCCAGGCACTGCCCCTCATTGGCCTCCTGCCGGCGGAGCCACAGGCCCCGCCCCCGATTGGCTGGGGATCTCGTCCTGGCGCCTGATTGGCTACTGGCCCCCACTGAGGTCAGGGCTGTGTCACACACGCGGGCGCACGTGGATCTGGGTGCTGGCACTGAGCTGAAGGGCCCCAGACATCACCGCTCAGCCAATGGGCGCAGGACGGCTGGTACAGTGAATACTGAAAGGGCGGGGAGGTAAGCTGCCCTTCTTCCGGGAACATGCCCAGGCTACATTAGATGTTTAAGAGATGTTCACTTACTGAACTGACCAGCCTTGCAGGACACCTTGGCCTTGCTAGGGGTGGGAAAAAGGAATGCAGACCTTGGGAGGTGGGCAGAGCTGGACGAGATGGCTGGTCCCTAGGAGGAGGGGGACAGACAGAAACTTGGCTTGACCTTTCCTGGGTTCCCTTGTCATAATAAAGCTGTTTTACCCAACTCCTTCCTCTAACACTTCAAATCCTTGGGCAGCTAGGAGAAAGGCAATTGAGAATCCATGTGTGATAGGGGCGGGGGGATGATACAAACAATACAAGGGGCAGCCAGAGCCAACGGGAGAGTGAAGGGAAGCAATAGCAGGTGCTGCTTCTGTGGCCAATCAGAGAAAAGGTCTCTGGGCAGACTATGGGGTGACTAGTGCTTCTCTACTGAGGATGCAGCAAACCACAGTTAGGGCTACCCCAAAAGTGGGGGGCCAGAAACCCAGAGTTATAGGGGAACAAAGAAGGTGCTGAGAGAAGAAATCAACTGGGACCCTAGACAGAAAAAGGTCGGGTGGCAAGGGTTTCAGATCCCCATCATTAGGAAGAGAGAAAGCCAAGGACATCATCTCTCTATTTCACTGTATTCCCCAGCCCCTAGGACAGAACCTGACAAAAACAGTGATTTTGTTGTTAGGGATTAGGGAAGGGGTCTCAGCAATGGAGAAGGGGCTGAAAATTACAACTTTTTTAAAAGGGGGAGCAGAGCACTGAGTCCTGAAAAAAGAACAGGGGCTGGATTTGGGGGATAAAGTGCCAGGCTGGGCCCAGGAGAGCTGCAGTTACACAGACTCCCTCCATCCATGACTGTGATGAGTAGTTCCTCTCAGGGCTCCCTAAGGATGTGGGTAGCAAGTGAAGAGCCCTCCCCCCAGCTAATCCTGACATAATCAGCTGTGGGTTCACTCCCCTTGCTGTCACGTGGCCTAAGCTTTCCTTAACAATGGTGTTCCCCATTGGGTGCCAGGGGAAAAGCTGGGAGGAAGGATATAAAATAACCTAGAAAAACCAAATCAAGAAAACACAGGAAACAAAGGATTCAGGAGCCTGTATTTTCAGTCTTCTCTACTTGGAAATGTACCCCCAACTCACAAACTGTGGCCCCATCCCTTGTCTCATTTTCAGACACCTCTTGTCTGCAAACACAATTTTCCTTCCTCTCCAGCTCTCCTGGGGATTTAGGTGTAATCTCCCCTGACACAGACAATCCTTGCTCTCCCACCTACACTTCCATATTTATTTCTTGCATAGACGAAAGGGTCCAGCACTCCAGCAGCCCTCACCTGCTCCCACAGCCCTGGTTGTCCTGCCTTATGATCCCCACGGTAACCAGGCCCGGCTGCCTTCAATGGAGGAGAGGGGGCGGGAGACAGCGGTGACGTCAAAGTGGAGGAGGGGGGCGGAGCGAGGAAGCTGGGGAATGTGGGGCAGGGAGGCTGGGCAGGCAGCGGTTTGGATGGTGGCCACACAGAGAGGGCGCGGCCAGTGCACTTGGGAACATCGTGTTCTCTTGGCTGGTGGCCCAGGACATGCACCAAACCCGGGCGCCTCCCACAACCCAAAGACAGCCGTCCTGTCCCAAAGCCAGGGATTCCTGGAGAGAGGATTAGAAGGAAGGGGTCCCCCTCTCCCCCGCCCCTACGCCTGGTTCTCCTTTCCAGACACGCATCGCGCTCCCCTGGGCTTGTTCCTACAGCTCCTGGCACTGGCTTATCCCCTCTCCCAAACCGTACACTTCTGCCGGCCCAATCACAAAGAGCCAGGGAGGGGAAGCTGGAGGCCCAGGTTCTGTGAGAGAACACACGCACCTTTGCTCTTTGAGAGGCCCCCTTCGGAGCCTGAATCTCTCGTTACTATGGCAGCAAAGAGGGAGGAGGGGCAGGGAGGAGAATGGGTCTAGGATTAGGAAATGTGAGGAAATCAAACTGGGACAGCAAGTGTCTCAGCCTAGAGCCTGGATACTGGGACAGGGTTTGGGGCTGGTGCCTGAAGACCAGAACCAGGAAGAGGGAAATGGGGAGTCACCAAAACTTGCAGAAAGCTTGAGAATGTGAGAATAGTTCCTAACCACAACATTCACATAAATCTCTTGCCCTATCACTGTTGTTTTGTCATCCTATAGGCATTTTTTTTTTAGCTAAATAATTTTTAAAACATCACCCAGGCATTTTGGCAAGCTCTTTCCATACATTATCTTATTTAATGCCCAGAACAACCCTGTGAGATGGGTATTATTATCCCCATTCCACAAGGACCTACTAAAGATCAGAAGTTACTAAACGTGACTAAATTGTCTCGTAACATGTTCTCAGGTTCTTAACAAATAGAGCCCAGAGTTCAAATGTGACCTCTGATAATGGCTTGTCATTCTGGCTTGTTAGTTTTCTGGAACCTGTGAGGGGTTACTCAGCACTAGGGAACCTGAACCTCTCAAATATCCAGCTAATTCTGAGCTTGGTGCCTGGAACACAGACTCCATTCAGCCCCTCCTCTCATTTGGGACATTCAGTTTGCATGCCCCACACACTTCCAATCATTATAGCCCCAGTTTTCACATGCTCACAAAGTCCTTGAGATCATCCTAGCAGCTACCAGGCCGTGATTTCCTAGGAACCCCACTTCCTCACTCCCACCTTACCCCAGGTCCCTTTACCACAGGCCTAGTTGCTTGTACAATTACCAGAGCACCCTGTTGGTTCCTCCTCACCTCCAGAGGCTCAGGAAGACATGTGCACTGCCAATCTGTACAACCCCATCCTCCCTGTCAGGATCCAACAGTTTCTACCTCACCTTTACACCCAAGGATGGCTCCGAGGCCTTTACACATAGAACATCCAGAGCTGTGATGTGACTGGCTCAGGGTCACACAAATCACCACCGTATCAAACCTTTCCAACCCTCCCACCTGCCCTACCGAGGCATCCCTGCAGTCTCAGAACCCCCTGCCTCTTTCAAGTGCTTAAGGCACATACCCAAATAGCAGCCAGTCCCCCATCCACTCTCAGATATCCTGACCCTCTACCTCCTTGAGAGCGGGGGTCTCAGCACCCTCAGGTCGCTGAGGGCTTCCGAGCCCCGCCTCCCAGGCAGTCTGGGGTCCAGGTCCCCTAAAGCGGTGAAGGATCTGATGTCAGTGACTACCCCCAGCCCCCACCCCCGTCCCTGTAGCGCTGAGTTCTGGTCCCTATTCCCCACAACCATTAGGACTCCCACCATTGTGGTCACGCATTCGCAGGATCCTATACACACACACACACTCCATTAACACCCCTACTGACAGAACACACCACCCTACAAAAACACACTGACCATCGCTCCCCTTCCCCGACTTCTGAGTACTCACTTTTTAGCAAGCCCGCAGAATCCAATCTCTTCCCAACTAGAACTACAGAGACTGGGACTCGCTCCTCCGGGCCCGCCCACCGGCTGGGATGCCACGCCCCTCAAGCTTATTGGCCTAAGGGCGCGGATCCATGCCCCACGCCTCGTGCCTTCGCCAGGCCTCCGCTCAGCTGCCATTGGTGCCGCCCGCCGCCGCCATCACCTCATTGGTCAACTTGCCAATCAGCAGTGACAGATCCACGTGCGGGAGGGGCCGCCTCCGGAGCCGTTGACTGACAGAAAGCCGCTCGCCAATCCACTGCCGAAGTACATATTGGCTATGGCAACGTCCCCCCACCTGCCTAGATCGGTGACGCAACTACCAGCCCAGCCCTCTAAACTTTCTCATAGGCTGAGAGGTCTCGGAGCTGTAGAGGACACGTGCCGGCGCTCTCACGCGGCAACTTGTTTACCTAGAAGCTGGGGATTTTCCTTGACGACACTCATACTCAACACACGGGAGTCTGCGCAGGCGCAGCGCGCGTGACCTGCCCGCTGGCGCTGTGGAGTGCGGCGTTGGCTTTGACCCGAGCGCTTTGTGCCGAGATCCCGCGAGAGGTCCCAGCGTGAAGAGAGCGCCCCGCCCCTTCCCCAGCGTTGGGACTGCTCCCGGAAGCTGGAAAGTGTGAGCTTTAGGGTGAAGAGGTCTTTAGATCAGTGTCGCGCAAGAGGGTGATGAGGCTGAACATGGTAGCCGGCTACTAGATTCTTTTCTATGGACTAGGCCAGGTGCTTCTCACAAATCCGGCATTACTACCCACTGCCTCACAAATGAGACTGAGATCCAGAAAGGTTACATAATCTGCCCGGATTAACACACTAGTCAGTAATGGGGCCAAAACTTGAACCCAGGTCCCTAGCACTATAAAGGAGGCAGGTCCTATGGTAATCCTAAACTTGGAAAGTATTCAGTAGACGAAATGCGAAAAAGCTCTGAGCACTCACTAGAATATAGTAAACCCTCAATAAATGATAACTACTGTGTACCTAATTATAAGAATCCTCTTGGCCCCTTAGAACTGCTGAATCAGAATCTCCAGGGAAGGGGCCTAAAAATCTATTTTAAAGAGCATTCCTGGTAGTTCTTGGGAGCTGACAAGGTTGGGAAATACTATCTAGGTTGTCTGCAGCCCAGAGAAAGCCCCACAGACCCCTTCTAGCACTCTCTACTCATTGTTAAGGCGCCTGAGGACAAGAAAGCTAGGGTGCCACATCAGGGGCATCATGGACTAGAGTCAGGAGTCTGACAACAGAGTTCAGGGGCAATAGGCCATCTCTAGACAGCTCCACACCACAGTCAGCTAGGCCGATTTGTTCACTAAGTGTTTTGTTTTTTTTAATGTTGTTTGTTTTTTTTTTTCCAGAGAGAGGAAGGGAGAGGGAGAGAGAAACAGCAATGATGAGAGAGTCACTGATCGGCTGCTTCTTACACGGCCCCCATTGGGGATGGAGCCCACAACCAGGGCATGTGCCCTGGCCGGGAATTGAACTGCAATCTCCTGGATCCTAGGTCGATGCTCAACCACTGAACCACGCCGGCTGGGCTCACTAAGTATTTATTAACCCTTTCTGGATGCTGGCACTGTGCTAGGCACAAGGGGAAGAGATGCTTCACAGAAGTTGGCCATTTACTTCAGGCCTAGGAGTAAATGACTACAGGAGCGACTGCACAGCATCTGGGAGTTAAATCAAGGGGCAAAAGGGACCCAACAAAGGGCAAGAGCATACCCTTAGGCAAGGGCGGAGGGAAAGCTGGGAAACTTAGAACTCAGGGTTCACCAGAGAGAGACACAGGGATCATCAACACTTCCCATTAACGCTTGGTGCCCCCCGGTGGCCACTTTGGGAATCACACTTTGCCCTGCCCAAGGTCAGGCCCTCCAACAAAGCTGTCCCTTCCCAATGTATATTGATTAACCTTCCTGTTAAACCTGCAGACCCAATATCTTTTCCACTGGTTAAAAAAAGATCTTAGGACAGACACCACTTAGTTACTCATTACACATTTATTGTACATTTTCACAATCTGGATGCGCCACAGAATTGGGGACATGGGGTGAGGGAAGGGGGGGCAGGGGACACTGGGATAATATGGGGGGATCTAGAGCACAACACCCCCACCCCCAGCATCTCTCCCTACCCTTTCACACTACAGCTTGGATCTCCCTGCTCCCCATCCACACAGAAACTTTGAGGGTGGGGGAAAGAGTTTGGGGGGTCCCCTCCAGTGACAGTTAAAGGGACTGTACCCTCAGACCCCCCAAAATTGTGCCATTTAAAAAGACATTAGACCCTTCCTCCATCACTTCACCTAAGGAGAAGACAGGTCTCTCTCTGGGCTGGACCACCCTGGAGAGGGGCAATAACCCCCATCTACCAGCAAACCCCACACACACATTGGCAGTGACTAGTACCCCCCCGCCCTGAATTCAGGGGGGGCAGTCAGAGGAGCTGGGCAGTGAAGGAGGCAACACCCTCCAAACTGGGGAGGAGGGTTTTCAGTCCAACCCCCAGCAGGGGTGGGGCCAGAGGAGACTTCAAGCAGGAATTGGGGATTCTCTGCCCTGCTCCACTCCTCTCCAAGGCAGTGATGACCCCTCAGACACTGGCAGCCACCTCTCCCAAAAGAGATCAGATTGTGGCCAACCCCCAACTCTCCTGGTGGGAGGAGGAGGGGGAAGATCAGGCAGATGGGAGGAAGGGAGACCCCATGGGAATGTCAGTTGAGCGCCCCACGTGAAAACTGGGGATCAGGAATGTGGGGAGAAACTCCAAGTGGCAGAATTATTGGTCCATCATAACATACTGAACTCCAAGACACTTACACACCAGCTCAGGGGAGGGAGAGAAGGGGACAAGAGGTTTGGAAAATGGGGGTAGCAGAGGCAAACTGGACTAGAGGGGCTAGGAGGGGATGATTCTGGGGGCCAGAACAGCCTGGCTCCCCAAAAGCCCAGGCTCCCCACCACCTACAAGTAATGTCATGCAAATGAAAGTGTGATACAACGACCAGTGGGGACTAACTCCTCAGTGAAAAAAAAAACACACACAGGTTGAAAGAACAGAAAAGTGATGGAACAAAAAAGAAACCAAAAGGGTTCTCAGTATGCACATGAATGCTAATTAACATGCTGGAAGCTCCCAGACTTTGGGATTCTTAGGACCAAGTGGGGCCAGTCTCAGAGCCTCCCAAATAATGCAAAGAAGATGCACCTAGGGAGGCCTGGACAATTGCTTTTTGTTTTGTTTGTTTTTTTGTAGGGGGGTGGGAGTATGGGGAAGGCCAGGGTGGGAGGAAGGATCAGCTAAATCCAAGGAAAGGAGAGGAAGAGGGACTATTGCATAGCAGATGCAAATGAAGGGACTTGGGGCTGGTCAGGAAAAGAGGGAAAGGGAAGGAGGAAAAGAGAAAGGTGATGGGAACCTCAGGAAGGGGTGTTAAGGACAACCGGAAAAATCTCCTAGTAATAAAACTACAAACAGACCAAATATATATAATATTATATATGTATAAATAACAGCTGGCTATTTACAGGAGGGCACACACACGGACACACACACAGATGGGGGGGCTGGAAGATATGGCTGAGAGGTGGAGGAGCGGCTGGGGATGGGTGGGGGGAGAGGCCCTTCTCTGGGCAGGCTCCTCAGGGGTTTAAGAGCTGAAGTAAACTATAGGGAGGGAAAGAGAAGAAAGGAGAGGGAGAGGGGGAAAAGAGAGGAGAGAAAGCAGTGTGTCAGGCCTGGCCCTGCTCCCACCCACCCCACTCCCCATCTGGCTGACATCCCTTCCCCTCTGGACCTCAGGTTCTCCACCTGTAAAGCCAGGGGGCTGGACAGGTGGGTTCCAGCATCTCTTCAAACCCATGGTACAGCCTTGGGGCAGACCCCTAGTCCTCTGGGCCTCTGAGACCACAAGCTCTTAAACAATTGGGTGGTTGGCTTCTTAGCCATGTCTCAAGCCCCTGGGCCTTTCCTGCTCTCCTACCCCCCCAATTCCAGGGTTCCCATACTGGGGTCTTAGGCCCAAAGGGTCCTCAAGGGAGCAGTGGGGATCCACCAGCTTTCGTGTTTCCAAAAAATTTAACAGAACTGCCCACAACCAGGCAAAGAGCAGGCTAAACAACATCAAGGTTTTGAGCTCTAGATGAATCTGAACCGCCATTGGCAGTTTATATGCTTTTTGCTGAATAGTAAAAACTAGGTTAATGACCTTCAAAACCCAGAACTCATAGGGGGAACCTCTTCAAAGAAGGGGCCCTAGCTACTCCCGCCCTACTCACCGATGATGATGATGAGGATGATGGCGCAAATCACTCCCAAGATGATCATCATCTGGAGGTGAGAGGGGAGGGTCAGTGAGACAGACCATGAAACCCCCATTCACCCACCAGTTCTACCTGGCTCCATTCTTACCTTGAGGTTTTTCCACCAATATTTGCGCTTGAGCTTGGCTGCACTTGTTTCAAACTGAGAAGCCCCTGCCTGGAGTGCATCTGCACGGTCGTCCAGCTCCGACAGCTTCTGGTCCCGCTCCAGGACCTTGTCCACGTTCACCCTCATAATGTCCACCACCTGGGAGAGGGGCCCACGAGGCAGGGGGTGTGCCGAGGCCCACCTCAATGAGGGCACTCCTGGACCACGTGCCCACATACAGAACAAGCACCCCGATGTCGCCAAGTTAACATGCCAAGGACACACATAGAACATGCCTAGCACACCTGGGGACATGCAAGGAGCACACATCAGGAGCATGCTGATAGCCAGACATCTCAGATGTCATAGCAGCACCCTCTATTTACAGAGTTTCAAGCAGCCTGCGGGTCACCAGAGCACATCTGCTCTGGCTCAAACACCCCAGACTAACAAGGCTAACCCTCCAGGGCCTTCCAAGTGCGCGCTGACAGGAATGGAGTATAGTATTTTTGTTCCAAAACTCATAAATGTGAACTGTCATCACCCCCAGCCCAAGTGGACCCCCACACTAGTTTGCCAACCCTCAGGATCCTTCCTACTGCCTTTGGCAACCCCCACCCCAACTCACCTCATCCACCTGGGCCTGAGTCTGCTGCAGTCTTCTGTTACTGGTGAGATTTGGAGGGGGCCCAGGGGGACCTCCCTCCCCAGCCGGGGCGGCAGGGGGGGCGGTGGCTGCGGTAGCCGACCTGAGGGGCGGAGACGGATTAAGACCCACTGCCTGGATAGTACGGCCCCGCAGTCAGGGCTCCGCCCATCCGCCTTTCCATCC